CAGTGTCATCGTCGCCTCTTTCTTCGAGCCTTCAAACAGTGTCATCTCTCCATTTATATATCATTTAGCCTTTTAAGTATCATGTCTAAGAGGCTGAACCCCTTTGAATGGAGTCATTTATGCTTTTTTGTCTTTCCAGATGACTTACTATTGCATTAAAAATAATAAAAATTATGTTTTGAATTACTTACCGGGTAAAAAAGTAAGTAATTCAAATATTATAGAAACAATAAATTACTTTCAAATTCCTTTTAGTTTGTCACACAAAATAATGGAAAAAGTAAAATCCTAATAAAGATATTATCTCACTTGTTTAATAAATTATAAATGCACAGGAAAGGAAAGGTTGGTAGCTTGGTTCCCTAACTTGTAGACTTACTCGCAATTGTCTTTTGACTTTTAAAATATCAATATGTAGGCCCTCTTTAGTCAACATTATATTTTTCATTTTCATTCTTTTATTCATTTTTAACCACACATTCTTCAATAAAATAATATTTTCCATCACATCAATATCTTTTCCTTCTTTTTCAATCACATATTTCCTATCACATCAACAGTAAAAATACATTCTTATCTTCAAAATGTGCACCAAACAGGGGTGTCGTCCTTAAATTTTATATTATTTACTCCGTTAGTCCTTGAAATCAATTCTATCCACACAAAAAAAGGTTAGATTGTTGGGATAGAAAGATTAAGGTAATCACTCAATTTATATATAAGGCTCTTGTTTAACTCCGGTTATTTTTAAAATATATTTTTTCCTCTTTTTTTCAACCACACGTTTTCAATAAAATAATATTATACGTCAACCAAAAATCCTTCCTTATTTTTTAACCACAAATTTTCTTTTAAAATACTATTCCAAAATACATTCTTAAAATAAAATGAGATTAAAATAGGCTCTAGGTTCTGATCACTGTTTATCACTTGTATTGGAATTATTAATAATATGTATATTGAAATATTTAGAGGGTGTTTGGTGAGGATTAAAATTAGATTTTTAGTGGATTGTGATGGAAGTTTTTGAAATGTGTGGTTAAAAAGATGTGTGACCCTTGAAAGATGTTGTTAATATTGATTGTTGACTTTGACTTAAATTAAAATCAGATTTTAATTCGGCCCAAACATGCCCTTAATATCGTAACTACCTTATATTGCTAGTGAACAATATTTTGGTGTCTAGAGTCAATTTGTGAAAGACATCCACCAAATTTATTTGTAACGAGTAGAATGGTTGATCACGGTTCATCAAAGAAACTTGTGTTCGTTCAAATGCAAAATTCTTGAACTTGTGAAAAAAATTCCCACAATCGAGGGCAAAAAAGCCTTTTGTTTCTGTTCATTTTCATATAATGTATCTAAACTAACATTGTGGCTGTTGGAATGTGGAAGTAGAATTACCCGAAAATAAAAAATAAAAATTTAAAAAATAAGATCGTCTAGATGTTCGCGTATATAATATATCAAGAATAAATGATTTGAATTTTTACCTAAATTTGATGATTACTTCATGAATTAATTCTAAATCACGAACTTTCAGTTTTTAATTTCAAGAACTTGATACTTCAAACTTTCAAATTTTCTGTGGTATTCTTCAAAATCAATACTACACCGGTGAGTGGTCATCTCATTTTCACTAAATCAAGAAACTAATTTTTTGACTGGACATGTGTATAAAGTAAGAAAAATAAACTTTGTCTTGTTCAATTGGATGTCTAGGTTCTATCTAGTTGCTATTTATAGAGATAACATATACAATAAGAATTCTACATTCAAATAGGAGCTTTAAATAAAGTACAAATCCAATTAATTTATATTTATTTATATGTATGGTTCAAGAACTTCAATAAAAATTAAGTTTACAATTTTCGTAACAATTTCAATTAAGCTCAGTACAGTGAGGGGGTACGAACCAGCCCTTATGGATGACCTTAAAGTGCAGTCTTTCAACAATTGGAAGTTGGAACATACGCTGTTCCACCTTCATATATCACATAATTAACAATTGTCTCTAATCAAAATTGATGCACAACCTTTCCTTCCTTCCAAATGCTAGAAAGAGCGAATTTAAAGTTCACTCTTGAAATATTTTTTAAAGTCCAATCTTTTTGCAATTGGAAGTTAATATGTTTTAAAGTCCAATCATTAACTTCCATTGATTGGAGTAGGTTGAATTGTACGTCTACTCTTAAGTTTGTAATTTCTTTTATTTCCTTTCAATTCTAATACATATTTTTTATCTAGTGGTGGTTTCAACAAAAAAGATGAAAAAGAAAGCAAACAGTGTGTTTGTTTTTTCTCTTTCTTTTTTTATTATTTTTTATTTTTTTAAAATTTAAATGTTTATTCATCTTATCCTCATAAGTTCATTGTTGACAACCAAATGGACAAAGACATCCATTGAAAGCTAACGACCCACAAAAACTAAGGGGCTGTTCTATTTGTATTTCAGTTTTGTGTTTTGTGTTTTGAATTTATTTTGAGTTTTGTGTTTTGAGTGTCCATTTTGAGATTTTTGAAAACGTGTTCTTTTTGGCATTTTGAAAAATGGTTTTCAAAAATTAGAAAATGCAAATCACGTTCCTTCCCCTTCTCACTTCACGCC